ATATTATTTATAACAGATTCAATAATATCTCATCTTAGCAGACATGCTGGCTAAAAGAACGAGGGCTAAAAGTAACATTGCAAGCACAAAGGGTTATATATAGTTTTACAAATCGCTCCATAACGATAGTGGAGATCCATGAAGCGTCACACCCATAAATAAAAGAAATGCTTAAGCAAATATTAACAAGCAAAAACCATGGCATGGCACCCAAACCACTTTATTGAGATAAACTTGTCAGGGTGCCTATATTGTCCTATGAAGGGAAAAGCTTTGTGATAGATTGACCCAGGGCTGGCACTACCGTAAGGTAGCACAGGTTGCCACCATAGGACCCACTGGCAAATGAAGTGCAGGATTTTGCTGACAGGAAGTGGGAAGAAATTGGGAAGGGAAGGGGCAAAAGAGACAAACAGGGGAAGAAAAGGACATAGAAGGGATGAGGAAGGGGAGAAAAAGATATACAAAAGGGACGGGGGAAGAAGCACACATAGGAGATGGGGAGGGGTAGAAATAGAGGCACATTGGAGCTGGGGGGGGGGGACAAAATAGAGCTTCACTTGTGTAGCCAAAATTCCTTGCACCAGCCCTGGGTTGAAAATCCTCAATAACCTTTGAGTCTCAGTTTTCCAAAGAACTTAAACAAATCAATATGCGAATCAAAGTCAGACACAGTTTTACTAGGGCAAAAAAGTCACAGTAAGTTCTTGGTCAGAAGGATTAAAAAATGAGTGCCTCTTGTATGTGTTGCGTGTGTCCCTGATTCAAGGTTTCTGGGAACAGCTTCATTGTCAAGATGAGCAGTGTGAAATTTAAACATCATATTCCTGTCTATCTGACTAAAATGTCCGTATTCAATGTACATCTATTTTTATAGACTGTAGTATTCATAAAGTCATGGTAAATTGAATATACCATGATGACTCTTTACAGGAAGTGTTTAGGAAGGATGTGCATGCCACATGCAGGGATGTGTGACTAGGGTTCCTAAATAAAGTAATTTAACTCCTAAATGGCAGAGAATTGAGCAGTGAGACTGCGGGGGCATTATCTATACACCAAAACTGCTTCATTAAGCTAAAGTTGTTTTGGTGACTATAGTGTCCATTTAAATTCCAGGCCAGCAATGCAGTTCCTGTTGAAACCAGAGGGAGAGACAGACAGAAATCACTTTAAAAAAAAAAAAAAAGAGTGTTTTTAGATTTACACTTTGGATAGACTGACACCAAAAGGTCTCAATGAGGAATTGACTGTACACCTTTTCCCTAAGATTGATCCCTTTCTTCTTTCCCTCCCCTTTGGATTAATTAGATAACTGGCATGTTGGGTATTTAACTATGCCCTGCTGGTCCTACCCTTGGCTTTAAAGGACAACTGCCACCTCAAAACTTTTTTTTTTTTTTTTTTTTAATGTAATGACACTTTCATCAAGTTTTTAACTGAAATAGATTTTATTTTTTTTAAATGAAGAGAAAAAAATAATAGAAAAACCCATCCCTTCCTTTAGTATATGACATGGCAATTCAGCCATATACATACACCTTGGGTCAGACAGTGTTTGAAGGTGACAGTTAGTCTGGTGATGTCACTGTACTGTGCTGGGAGTGAAGCTGAGCAGACCAGAAAGCGGGGTATCAAACTCATTTGTTTCAAATTGTCCACTGAAATAGGTATAAATAAATTCTTTATTTTTGCAGTGCTTATAGAAAATTACAAATAGTCCTGCAATGTCCCAACAGTCAGGGCAGGCACATCAACAATAACAGTAGTATAGACATGTGGCATTGTGAGAATACAGCACAAATTTTATGTTTTAGTATATTCAGGTTAGGCATATATGTCAAAAGTAAGTTCAGCTAAGTGAGATTAGTAAGATTTTCTAGACATAAACATTGCTGACATATAAACTAACATATGAGGACATGCTTGACTACATGGTGTAGTTATAAAAGATTAATAAATCATGCTAGGATTTCGGCATACTGCTAGGTTATCAAGCTATAGACATCAGTTAGATATGTAGAGAGTAGGCTATAAACTACCATAGCAAGCTAGTGTTACATGAGTATATGAACCACTGGTTCTGGGAACTAACTAATACCACTGTTTAGTAATAAATGCTAAGTAAGGTAGAAAACAAGAGAAATGAAACAGGATATTTAATACAGAAAGGTATCGATGGTTACAGGCTTCGGAGGGCACCAAAGTGTGAAGTTGTGGTGTCTAGAGAAAGACGGACATCTCAGCAAGTCAGGCCGAATGCCCTATGTGGGAAGTCCAGAGTCAGCCAATGCACTGGTGTGGGAGAGCATAGAGGTTGACAAGAAGTGCGGCTAGATGAGACGGATGCAGGGCAGGGTCGCCCTGTATGAGGTACCCACTGCGCTGCAGTGCCACATGCTCCTTCAGCCCCATGCTTGTATGTGAGCCAGCATCCTTATTCCACTGACTCGGGTACCTTGTAGGGCCAAGTCCTTCTCCTGTCCAGGGTAAACAGAGGGATTTGGTGTTGCATGCCGTTTCCGGTGGAAGAACCTCCACTTCTGTGGATGATGCAAGAAAGCTATGCCTTGAGGGACTCCCAGCTCAGGCAGGCGTATACAATGGTAGGAACTTGCGTGCGTGTTGATATCACCCGGAGGAGCTCTATGTGTTTGTGAGGGGTCCTGTAATTGTGAGTGGTGGTGTGTGTGTGTGTGTGGGGGGGGGGTTCAGTGTGTGTGTGCGAGGGGTGTAGTGTGTGTGAGGGATGCTCTGTGTAAGGCATCCTGTATTTTTAAAGGGGTGACTGTGTGTGAAAGGTGCTGTGTGTGTGAGGGGTGCTGTGTGTGTGAATGGTGCTCTGTGTGTGTGTGAGTGGTGCTGTGTGTGTGTGTGCGAGGGGTGCTCTAGGTAAGGCATCCTGTTTTTGAGGGGTGCTGTGTGTGAGGGGTGCTCTATGTGTGTGAGGAGTGCTGTGTGTGGGAGGGGTTCTGTGTTCGTGAGGGGTGCTGTGTGTGTGAGGAGTGCTGTGTTTGCAAGGGTTTCTGTGTGAGGGGTGCTGTATGTGTTGGGAGTGCTATGTTTGTGAGGGGTGCTGTGTGTGTGCATTGGGTGCTGTGTGTGTGTGTGTGAGCTGTGCTCTATGAGTGTGAGGGGTGCTCTGTGTGCATGTGGGGTGCTCTGTGTAAGGCATTCTGTATTTTTGAGGGGTGCTCTATGTGTGTGAGAGGTGCTGTGTGTGTGTGTGTGAGGGGTGATGTGTTTGCCAGAGGTCCTGTATGAGGGGTGCTGTATGTGTTGAGAGTGCTGTGTTTGTGAGGGGTGTTGTGTGTGTCCGTGGGGTGCTGTGTGTGCGTGTGTGAGCGGTGCTCTGAGTGTGAGGGGTGCTCTATGTGTGTGGGGTGCTCTGTGTAAGGCATTCTGTATTTTTGAGGGGTGCTCTATGTGTGTGAGAGGTGCTGTGTGTGTGTGAGGGGTGCTGTGCGTGTGTGAGGGGTGCTGTGTTTGCCAGGGGTCAGGTGTGAGGGGTGCTGTATGTGTTGGGACTGCTGTGTTTGTGAGTGGTGCTGTGATCTTCCCTGTCGGCCCATGGCCAGTCTGGGGTTCCCAACCTGTGTGGCCGCCATTAACCAAAATAATTTTGCGTACCCCCTGGGTCACTGAATTGTACCCTGGGGGTATGCGTACCACGTGTTGGGAACCCTTGCTTTATTAAAGGGAATCTATCGTGCTAAGAAAACAACATTGTTTTCCTGACACTATAGCTCCCTATAGTGCCCCACTCCCCATGGTGTAGAAGGGGTTACCTCAGTACAGCATCATCGGTGCTGGCTCAGGACCACCTCCGCTCTTCCTCTGTCAACGTCAGCCGGTGGTGGAGACCTAATGGACGGCAAGGGCCGCGCTAGCAATATCATTTCCCTATAGGAAAGCATTATGCAATGCTTTCCCATGGGGATTCCGATGACACTGGATGTCCTCATGCATAGCGTGAGGTCATCCAGCATCAGTTAGGCGACCAAAAGTAGAGTTAACCCGTAAAGGTAATTATTGCAGTTAATAACTAATTAATTGAACTGGTTTGTTTTAGTGACTATAGTATCTAATAAATGTCTTTATGGGTTATCCCCAGCATTGTGGAGAAATAGGGTAGCTACTTACATTTCTTTTAATTCTTATTGCCACTACACACATACACACATTATATATATATATATATATATATATATACACACACATACATACATACATACACGCACACTTACTTTACACACACTGCTACACATGCACACACACTATACACACGCCCTTTATGTTTATAAACAGCAATTCCTATTGTATTTAAAAGTCCAAGTTTATTTAGTCTATTAGTTTGGAAGGTGTGTGTGTGTGGGGTGTGCGGGGGTAGGGGGTGCTTTGAGAATTCTGTGCCTACAGGTGTCTGATGTAAATCTATCCCTGATCACAGTACAATTTTGATGAAACATGGAATAAAACATGGGATGCAGAGCTATCACATACATCTACATGTTCCATTTCAAACAATGGAGCTATGCAGAGGTCTGGGGGAGGTGTGCAATTCCTGTCTATTGTGTTACTTTAATTTCAATATGATGAGCTCATCTAGCATGATGGAGCTACCAGCACAGGACATGGTGGGGCAAGGAAGAACAACATATATACGGGAACAACTGCACACCCTGGAAATATAACAGTTACAAAGACCTGATCCAAACTGCTCACTTAAATAGTATGGAACCCCATTACTGTATTTCTTCAGTAAACCGGCCCATCTCCACAGTGACTAAATGTGATACAATGTGTGTGTTGAAACACTACACATTAATACAATAGCACCGAGCTTGTAAAGTGTAACTAATCACATTCCTCTATTTGCTGCAATGTAACTATACTTTATCACTCTGCAATTGCATCACTGTTCCTACAATTGTTTTATTTATTTGCTAAACTAATTGCAAGTCACTTGAACAGAATTCAGTTTCATCTGTTTTGTTGATAGGTTGCTGGGTTACAAGACGGTATCATTGCATTATAGTTTCCGTAGCAACCTGAATACTAAAGCATATTCCCCTGCAGTAGGCAAAGGAGTTCACTGGCTGTTTTTGACTATACCAGACAGAAAACGTGACTGCTTATGGGCAAAGCTATACCATGGAATGCAGAAGGTAAGGACTACTAAAGTTATTATTATTATTTTTTTTGCATTTTTTAAAATGTGTTTTTTTGGTTTTTTTTTAAATGACAGTGTTTCATGCTACACAGTGTGGTAGAACTGCAAGCAGAAAATGTCTCGAGTAATAGAAACACAATTAGTCACAAAAAAGTCAGTTTGGGTTTGCAGTGCCCCTGTAACTGTGAGGGAGAGGCAACTAGTTTGTAAGAGTTAATTACTGAAGTTTAAACCCAAAAGCCATCTTTAGTGCTTATTTCTGCTATAATTAAAGCACCTAGATTTCCTAAATTGCCCCTTTAGCTGCTTGCTAAACAATACGTTTTGTCCATATATTTTATTTCAATTGAACAACAGTATATGTCTTCATGTTACAAAAAAAAGGGGACATGGGCTAATCCCCTCCATGCTGCAATATTATTATTGTTAGTCCACTAAGAAAGCTACCCCTTCTTAAGGGACTTATTCACTAAATCATTAAATAAAATATTTAGGCTAGCATAGCCAAGTTTGCAATAAACCTGATTTTGGGAATATTGCCTGCTTAGCTATTTAGTTTAAAATTGGGGAATTTTATATTCCTTTCACCAAAATTCTTTGTTTTGTGAATAAACCCCAACATGCACCACCAGGGTAAATAAAATAAGCTAACCAAAGCAGATCTGTCAACTGAAAAGTTATACATTGGAAGTAAAAATATATTTTTTTAAATTACCCACTATTTGGGTAATGCACAAAAATTAGATATAATGTTAATGCAAAGAGTTTATTTAGCTGCACAACTCTTTCTGTAGCGATTATGAGAACCACTTGTGACCAAGAAGAGGCTCCACCAATCAGATACCTGTTTTTTATTTTTTTTTTATTTTTTTTTAACTGGTAACTATACAATTTGACAATTGAGATATAAGGACATGACATGGATAGCCTTTGCTAATTTTTTGTTGGAGTTATAGGAGAGTAAATGAAGTGAGTAGCATAAATGCATGGCTTAGAAATCAGCATTCCCCCCCCCCCCCAACACCTCTTCCCCCCTCTCCCCCCAACAGGTTACAAATGGATGGATGGTTTACATGAGTTTATAGAAACATAGAAACATAGAAACATAGAATGTGACGGCAGATAAGAACCATTCGGCCCATCTAGTCTGCCCAATTTTCTAAATACTTTCATTAGTCCCTAGTCTTATCTTATAGTTAGGATAGCCTTATGCCTATCCCACGCATGCTTAAACTCCTTTACTGTGTTAACCTCTACCACTTCAGCTGGAAAGCTATTCCATGCATCCACTACTCTCTCAGTAAAGTAATACTTCCTGATATTATTTTTAAACCTTTGTCCCTCTAATTTAAGACTATGTCCTCTTGTTGTGGTAGTTTTTCTTCTTTTAAATATAGTCTCCTCCTTTACTGTGTTGATTCCCTTTATATATTTAAATGTTTCTATCATATCCCCCCTGTCTCGTCTTTCCTCCAAGCTATACATGTTAAGATCCTTTAACCTTTCCTGGTAAGTTTTATCCCGCAATCCATGAACCAGTTTAGTAGCCCTTCTCTGAACCCTCTCTAAGGTATCAATATCCTTCTGAAGATACGGTCTCCAGTACTGAGTACAATACTCCAAGTGAGGTCTCACCAGTGTTCTGTACAATGGCATGAGCACTTCCCTCTTTCTACTGCTAATACCTCTCCCTATACAACCAAGCATTCTGCTAGCATTTCCTGCTGCTCTATTACATTGTCTGCCTACCTTTAAGTCATCAGAAATAATCACCCCTAAATCCCTTTCCTCATATGTTGAGGTTAGGACTCTATCAAATATTCTGTACTCTGCCCTTGGGTTTTTACATCCAAGATGCATTATCTCTCATTATCCACATTAAATGTCAGTTGCCACAATTCGGACCATTTTTCTAGTTTACCTAAATCATTTGTCATTTGGCTTATCCCTCCTGGAACATCAACCCTGTTACATATCTTAGTATCATCAGCAAAAAGACATACCTTACCATCAAGACTTCTGCAATATCACTAATAAAAATATTAAAGAGAATGGGTCCAAGTACAGATCCCTGAGGTACCCCACTGGTGACAAGTCCAAGCTTTGAATATATTCCATTAACTACAACCCTCTGTTGCCTGTCACTCAGCCACTACCTTACCCATTCAACAATATTTGAATCCAAACTTAAAGATAGCAGTTTATTGATAAGCCTTCTATGTGCAACAGTGTCAAAAGCCTTACTGAAATCCAGGTAAGCAATGTCTACTGCACCACCCTGATCTATAATTTTAGTTACCCAATCAAAAAAAAAAGATTAGTTTGGCATGATCTCCCTGAAGTAAACCCATGTTGTCTCTGATCTTGAAATCCATGTGTTTTTAGATGTTCAACAATCCTATCCTTTAACATGGTTTCCATCACTTTCCCCACTACTGAAGTAAGGCTTACTGGCCTATAGTTGCCCGACTCCTCCCTATTACCTTTCTTGTAAATGGGCACAACATTCGCTAACTTCCAATCTTCTGGGACTACTCCTGTTAACAGAGTGACTTCTTGATAAGTGTGATCAACAGAAGTACTGCCGAGACACCATGCTAGAAATAGGTAGGTATTTCTGATATTAGCCGACTCCCTCTAGGGGTTGAACACAGTCCCACCATAGGTGCACCGGTAGTAGGCTCACTTTCCCATTCGAGTAGTGGTGTGTGGTAACCGGGGGGCAGTCGGGCAAGCCCCGTATGGTCAGCAGTGGTCCCAAGTCCCCTTCTTGATTTGTGGTGCAATCTCACCACGTGTCATGAGTCTCTGTCGACACATCACTTGGGCCCAAGCATGGAAGGGGTCACTCTCCGTCGCAAGTCCACTCACTCTGCATGTGGGGTCCCATGCATGCCTTGAGCTGTAACCAGAAGGAATTGAAAAGCTTGTTGAGGTGTTGCAGGATATCATAAGTACCTCCTCCTGCATCGGGGGACCATGGCGTCCGCAGAGTAAAGGAGCCTCTGGGGAGTAGACCAGGATCACCCCCACTGGTCCAGATGGGGGTAGGAACGGGGTGCTCACTTGCAGCTCAAGTGGGGCACAGGTTGGCTACTTCTCCACTCACCCACATTTACTAGGCAGCCAAATCAGCTCACAGCACTTCGTCAGCGTGGACACCCGAAGACATCAGAACACGCGTAGGTTTCACCCCAATCGGTCCAGGAGCCCTTCATAGGCAGCTAGGATCATCAATCAAAGTGTAATCTGTAGTAAAGAATAGTGTAAGTGCCAGAGCTCACACATGTTGCGACTGTCCGGCTTGGCAGCCAGGCCCTGCCCCCAGACACCTGTATTTTGCCTGAATGCGGTCTGATCTTATGTTCCTTGTAAAAAGTCTGTGTGTCACTTGGAGGTGGTACAGCTGCAAAATCCAGTGCCTAGTAAAATACTTATTTTCTATACCTTTAATGCTATGGATATAACTGTACGATTACTTTTTTTTTAATGTTATACCTATGGCAGGGGTGCACCTTCAATCCCAGAGGCCCCCAAAAAACTGAGTTCTATAGTACATAATGTCCAATAGTATCATTATCATTGTCCAATAAGTTGTCACAAGTGCTTGTTTCAGAGCACAAAAAGCCCTTCGCCAGGGCAGAGAATCACAGCAGATAGGAAATGAGAAATTAAGAATCACAGATGAAAAGATAAAATTAATTGACAGGATCAGTTAAAACTGATGGGAGCCGAATCTAAACTGATACTTGAATAGTAGGAAAAACATTTTCTGTACATAGAGGAGAGCAGACTAGGAGCCTGATGGACACATTGGTGGTTATGTTCTGAGAATTTGCATTGTGAATGAGTAGGAGAATGATCTAGTAGAAGAGATGGGAAATCACATGGAGGATAAAAAAAAGGTAACCAACAGAATGAAGGAACTGTTTTGATATAAGGAAGAAAACAAGAGAAGTTTAAAAGTGGATCTCATATGGAAGGAGGCAGTTTATGGAAAGTGAGTGTGTGTGTGTGTATGTGTGTGTATGTCAAAAATGGAAGGGAGTATGTGTGCTGATGTAGAGAGTCGAGTAAAATGATACATGAAGAGGACACTAATTTGATATAGTGCAGGAAGGATTGGGAAAACAAATGGGAGAGGCATGAACCTTTATGGTATACGTGGGAAGTGAAGTAACAAAGAGGGAAGGAGGAAGGACTAATAAGATAGTAATAGACTAAATAACAACTACTTTGGAATTATTAGTTCTGTTGCTTGATTTCTGCATATCATTTAGCATTCAGGCTCGAAAATAAGTGCCACCACTTGTCTGAAAACTCATATTATATATATGCATTTAATGTTTATGTTATACAAAATAAAGTAATTTTTCTGTTTGCCTATTATATTTCAGAAAGAAATCAAAGTATGAAGTTTAAATGAAAGAAACGTTTTTTGAGCAATTACAGTTCTCTAAAGCTGAAAACAGAAAAAAATGGAAAATACTTATTCTTCCAGTAACTTATGATATATTGTTCAAAGTAAAATGAAATTTCAAACTGTAATATAAACACAGGAACAAATTAAAAAAAAAAAAAAAAACTGAGAAAAAAAAACATTAAAATAGTCTGGTGCGGGTTTACACTTTTAATGTATTCAATGTCCAAAAGTGAATGCCAGAGTGAGTGTGTAAAGTTAGCAAATGCGCCAAGCAGTTTCTCATTTAAACGTCATCCAAGAACCATTAGACCAGAAACGGCTATCCTAGCTAAAAGATCAACCTCACAAAATATGTCCCAGGGTCAGCAAAACAGACCGGTTATTCCTCCAAGAAGGCTAGCATTTAAAGTGTGCTACATTTGTGGAAGAGAATTTGGGTCAAAATCTATTGCTATTCATGAGCCCAAGTGTCTTGAGAAATGGCAGACAGAAAATGAAAACTTACCAAAGCATTTGAGAAGACCAGTCCCAACTAAACCTCAGACTTCTACTGATGGGGCAGACACCGATGATAATGAAGCAGCCTGGCTTAGTTCCCAGGCACAACTTTTGCCCTGTGGGAACTGTGGTCGTACATTCCTTCCGGAACGACTCATTGTGCACCAAAAGGGTTGCAAGCCAAACAGTAAGAACTTGGGCTCCTTAAACTCCACAGCTAGCACGACATTAACAAATTCCAAAATGATGACAGAATCTACAGCAACTAGTGAATCTTACAATGCCAAGAGCTCTCACAGCTCAATGCCAAAAACCTTAATTTGCTACATATGTGGAAGGGAGTTTGGCACTAAATCTCTCCCTATACACGAACCAAAATGTCTTGAGAAATGGAAAATAGAGAATGACAAGTTACCTAAAGGACAAAGGAGACCTATGCCTCAGAAGCCTCAGCTTGAAACCTCTAGAGGAAGAAGCCAAAAAGAGCAAAATGAAGCAGCGTGGCAGAGTTTTAAGGGCCAGCTATTAGTATGCTCTAATTGTGGTCGGTCATTTGCAAGTGACAGACTTGAGGTCCACCAGAGGAGCTGCAAGACTAAAGCCACAAGTTCAAATATCAAAAATTTAAGTACAAATAAACAAGCACAAAATAAGGAAACCCTGGAAAACACGACAGATAAGGTAATAATCAGAGATAACTTCCTGGCTATCTGTGAATTAATAGGCATTCTACAAATGATCACTGACATGTTACACAAACAAATTCTTTAATTTTTTCAATATACATGGCCATTTGAGTGGTAATTTGCAAAGAAGTTTGTAGGGTATTGAGTAAAGAAAATTAAATATGTTTTTATTTAATTAAATATCCTGTGGTCTGGAACCAATAGTTTTACATTACTTCGTGTTTAAACAGAAATATTAACTGAGAGTTGTATAATGTTTTAAGAAATCATACCTGAGGCTTACAAAGTAACTGTGATGGAAGCCAAGTTAGAGAATTTTCAAATTAGTTTTTTTGCCGTAAAATTTTGCATTCACTGGAATCCATTGTTTAGAAAGAAAAAGTCCAGAATAAATTATTATAAGATATAAGGTTTGGATGCAAAATTCAGAGACAACTTTAAATTGATAGCGTCTTTGCCTCCTTTGACCTAACATTAGTGGTCCCATGAAAGCAGTTGAGTCAGCAACCTTGAGATTCATGGCAGTCTAACAAATCCTCCAGTGCCTCAAAACCTATTTTTACCTGTTCCTCCCCTGGTATTTACATTATTATATTGTCATGCCTACAGTCAGTGCCAGAGTGGGAATACAAAGCAGCCCTGGAAAAAATGTATGCCCTATAAGTCATTATGCTACAATTTGTGTGTGTGTGTATGGATGTATGTATGTATATATAAGTCATATGTATTTATATATACCTTATATATATTACATCATATAGTCATTGTGCAACATATTGTGTGTTGTGTATGTATATATGTATATGTATATATAAGTCATATGTGTATATATATATGTATATGTTATATATATATTACATTTATAATTGTTATGTTTCTTTTTTTAATTCAAAATATTGGAAGGGGAAAAAAGTGAAATTATACAGTAACCATATTTATTCATGTAGGCAAAGACAATTTCACTGGCCCTGATACACAGGCTCACAGACAGACAATCTCACTGGCACATATACGCTCCCTGACACAAAAGCACAAGCAACACAAGCTCACTGATACACACAAATAGGCTCACTGACAGGCAATCTCACTAACACAAGATCTCTGTCACACTGGCAAGCTTACTGGTATACACACACACACACACTTAGTACATAGAAACAGTCTGACACACAGATACAAGCTTACTACAGACAAACTCACTGTCACACACACACACATGCTCACTACAGATAAGCTCACTAACACAGATACATTTGCTCACTGACACACACATGTTCACTACAGACAAACTCACTGACATAAATTACATGCAACTCAAAGAAACCAGAAACAAGTTCCAGGCCTTACAACTGCAACACACAGAAAGGTAATATAGAAAACTGAAGCTCCAAGATTACACACAAAGAAACAGAGTGGGAAGACTTCTGATAAGTAAGCTATGAGCAAGGCAAGCAGAAAAGCACAATTCCCTTTATACAAGACAAGGACGGATTGAAATGTATTAATCCAGCCAAAACAGTGGAAGTGTTTATCTTCTATAGCTCTTTATATAATATCCACTCTGACTACAACACTTACTCTCCTGACCCGCAAGAACTTGAAAACTTTTTAAAGGCAGTTTTTGTCACAAAAAAATAGTCAAAAGTCCGCCCAGTTTGATCTCACATTTATGGAGAAAGAAATTAAAAAAGCCATTACACCCCTTCAAGCACACAAAGAGCTGCGTCAAGATGGCCTCCTAAATTTGTACTATAAGTCATTGGCCAAAATGCTAGTTCCCCATCTAACTAATCTTTTATAACTCATTTCAGAATACAGGAGTCATTCCTTAAGACATGTTAGAGGCTCAAATAATTACTATACCCAAACCTGGCAAACCCTCCACAGCGTGCACCAACTTTAGGCCCATATCTCTGCTCAACACAGATGAGAAACTGTATGCCAAGATACTAGCCTCTAGATTAAATACACTTGTAATGATATGGCCCTGACTTCTCTGGCACTGAAGTGTACCAGTTCAGGCATGCTATCGTCCGTGGGTTTCTTTTACCTAACCTGCACCATTAACTGCTGCACTAAATGCTAGGACTCAGCTTTGGTAGCATATCCATTGGCAATGCAGAATATACTGCACTGGTATATGGTTACTATAGAATATTCTATCTATCTAGTCCTCTGGAAATACTCTATGAGTAACTACTATATAGAGGACAATAAATAGCAATATACCTGTTAGACTTCAAGGAAGAGACAAACAAGCTTCTTCTTGGCAACTCAAAAGAGACCGTTTATTGTAGAAACATCCAGCTTACATAGATCACAGCATACAGTAAAAAAAAAACATTGCACAAACATTTACACTAATGGGAATACAAAACTGGGCTGGGCAAACAGAACACAAAGGAAAGCTTTGGTTGCAAAGTCATTTATTACAATAGTTATTCCTCTCCTGTGCAAGTCCACCCTGAACATAATAGGTTATCTTGCTCAGCCAGGAAGATATCTGGACCCACTCTCCCTTCAGATAAATACCTGATTACATTAACACCCTTTGCTGTAGTAAATAACATGTAATTACAAGTATAGACTTGCCGACTCCAACTTGGAGGTCACTTACAGTACAGAATTTAATTTAATTAACCTACAAATACATTTTAATCTAGCAATATAACACATCACCTGGCTATACTTTATGCTTGCATAGAGAGCTGCTGTCTGTACATAGACACAAACACAGCTCTGTGCATAATACAGGCGCACTCAATACAGAGATAACTATGTACATTTTAAACAGTATCTCATAGCATTCTTTCTGTTGGCCTGACATAATACCATGAGGTGACACCAAAATGGCTCTGCTAGCTTACAAGCTTTGTTCCACAAAGGCAATAGTCAGATAACACCAGATGAGTTCTGGACCTCATAGAAATAATACAAAGTACCCTTGTGACTCTATAAAACAAAAATGCCTTCAAGATACTCAAATGGCTATACACGACCAAAGTCCTCAAAAATATGACTTTTCATAGTCTTACCTATAAGCTATTCTAGCCTTATACTCCTCTTACTAAACTCAGGTTTCCTATCAGACCTCTTAGAGGTTACAAATGATACAAGACAAGGATGTCCACTATCTCTGCTTATCTTTGCCCTAACCCTGGAGCCACTAGTGTATAAAATTAAAACATATCCTGAAATATCATGTATACCCACATCTCTAAGCCCACAGATAGTGTATTTGCACATGACATTCCTACTAACTCTATGAAAACCATATAATATGAGATACATCCATACTCCTGAAGAATCAATCCCTGCGATGTTGACAATCCTGCAGGAGTATGGACATATCTCATTTGAATACTACTACCAACTTTTACATTCACAATTTCAGTTTTGTCTTCCATTGCTAAAAGTTTAAATACACTTTGAGTTCTCAAATATTCACACTTTAGTGAATAATTCTGAATGTGTAAGATCCTGTTGAATAAAGTATTTAAACATTAGGCAAAGTTGAATTTATTTAAAAAATCCCTAGTGTATGTGTACCAAAATTCAGTTTTAATATATAGTTACATCATTATATAGCTGAAACAAGATATGCATTCATTAAGTTCAGCCTTGCTCACATTCGTTTTTGCTGTTGATCCAAAAGAATGCAAAAAAAAATAAAGTTTGAAGTGCTTCCAATTTTGTAACAAACTTGGGAAAAATCTTTCTTGACCCTAGAATAGAAGTCAGATATCTTCTTTGATCAAAAATCTATTATCCTAATAATAAAAAATTATATTCCTGAATATTATGTTTTTGCAAATATTTATTAAATTGCTGTTTAGACATCTGTACAGACTCTGATAAAAAAAAAAAAAACATCTCTTCAGGCAGAGAATTCCACATCCTTAATGACATTCAAAATGTACTATTTGGATATTCTGAGGCCACCTGTTAGAAACTGCTTTATAAACAAATAGTACTCTGAGTGTGCTGAATTCTCCTTTCTGATAAGTGGTTATGGTACAGTTATTCTCAATTGGAATACACGGGGTGCCAGGGACTATTAGACTAATAAAATTTGTTACTGTGTTGGTGATAGATTCATCTATTGTCAAGCTTAACTAATTTCTCTATATTCTTTCTATACAGGCAAAACTGTTGACACTGTGCACACGTCTTGTGTGAAAATTCTACTACCTTCTTGAGGGATGTCCTTTTCTTTCCTCACTTATTCTGAACTCTTTCAATCCCACCTAATAAGCTTCCAGACTTAGCATGGCTCTGCTCCTAACCTAGAAATACCAGTAATAGTTATTTTCCTTGTTCAGGCTTCTTTATAACTGCTGCTTTCTCCAAATCCAAAGACTCTCTGGATTTCTGATCACAGCAATGTAGATCTGACCTCTTTTTTATCTACATGATTTTAAAACAGCTAACACATAATACACCAATTATTCTAGCTCACGTCGTACCTTACCATGCATGCTATCTGTATAAGGACCTTTGAAGAAATAAAAACTACACAAATATTTTAGACCAGTTTGTGTCGTAGTGACCATATTTAAATCTGGGAAACACATACAGACATTCTGGTTCCTAAAGAGTTTTATTGATAGTAGCTCCAGTATATATATTAAAGGGACACTATAGTCACCTGAACAACTTTAGCTTAATGAAGCAGTTTTGGTGTATAGAACATGCCCCTGCAGCCTCACTACTCAATCCTCTGCCATTTAGGAGTTAAATCCCTTTGTTTATGAACCCTAGTCACACCTCCCTGCATGTGACTTGCACAGCCTTCCATAAACACTTCCTGTAAAGAGAGCCCTATTTAGGCTTTCTTTATTGCAAGTTCTGTTTAATTAAGATTTTCTTATCCCCTGCTATGTTAATAGCTTGCTAGACCCTGCAAGAGCCTCCTGTATGTGATTAAAGTTCAATTTAGAGATTGAGATACAATTATTTAAGGTAAATTACATCTGTTTGAAAGTGAAATTAGTTTTTTTTTTTTTTCATGCAGGTTCTGTCAATCATAACCAGGGGAGGTGTGGCTAGGGCTGCATAAACAGAAACAAAGTGATTTAACTCCTAAATGACAGTGAATTGAGCAGTGAAATTGCAGGGGAATGATCTATACACTAAAACTGCTTTATTTAGTAATTTAGGTGACTATAGTGTTCCTTTAACCCCTTAAGGACACATGACATGTGTGACATGTCACGATTCCCTTTTATTCCAGAAGTTTGGACCTTAAGGGGTTAAGGGTCGTAAAATGCAGACCTGGAATACTACTCTGATAAATTGCTATTAGTCACTTTCAAGCAGAGACCTATGGAAGTTGTAATGATAGCAGATATACCACAGATATAAACATTGTCTCTCTCAACAATGGACTCTTTTCTCCTTTAGCATTTTGTTCCAGAGCCAAGACACTGCTTTTTGGGTAGCTCAAGCTTATAAATCTGTTCATACAGCTAAATTGTTCTTTCTTTTATTTCTTAGCTCATAGTCTAATCCAGAAAAGGCTACAAATTTTCATAAACACAAGCACACACACTTTTCATGCCATTAACGGAATATTGGCATGCATTATTGTTTTTTCCATTACTTGAACTTGAAGTACAAAAATGAGCTTAGTTTGATTTATGATTAAGCACTTGTGCCTTTTGGTTCTTTAAACACCTTTTTATATTTTCCTTTTTGGTAGATGTTTGTGTGGCAAACCTAGCCACTTTAGGTCATATTGCAGAACATTTAAAGGTTGTCTGAAATAGCTGTGTTAACCTGGTGTAAAAATGTATTTGTGTGTTTTAGAACAGAGAGCATGCATAGGCTAACAGCCGTGAATAAAATTGTCAGTTGACTCCTGGAGCCATGAATAAAATTGTCAGTTGACTCCCTGAACTGTGTTTTGTCCAGTTACTGGGGGATTTGGGATATTGCCTTCTCTTCCAGCGCTTTACTTTGGATTACCTTCTATACCAGCGGAGATCTTGTGATTTAATTTTGCAGCTCCGCTACAATTGGTGGCAAGCGACGGGATCCAACCTTACAGCCGAAAAGCGGTATTCGGGTAATTGAAACTACCGAACAGGAAAGTGAATGGCAATTCGGATACAACAAAGAACCGAACACAGAGGTGAATGGAGACAGACTACACTGCACTGAAACGGGAGACGTTAAAGGAACTATTGGAAGACATGGGTAATATAGCCAGCAATAAGCCAAAAGCTGTGCTGATTGCTGAATTGATGGAGGGAGGGAGAGCTCGCAGCGTTACACCTCCACCAGCCATGGAAGAAACCCCCTTCCAAAGGGAAATGAGGACCAGGATGGAATTTTTACCCCAGTCAGTACCCCTGGAAATACTGACAGTACTGATGGCGGATGTGCAGGAGTATGTGATGGCACACAGACCGCAGGATGCTCCTCCCAGAGCAGAGTCTATAACTGCTTCAGTCGTCAGCCAGGTAAAGCCTAAGATCCCATACCATGCATTTAAAATGTTCTGTGAAGAGAAAGATGAGATTGATGGGTATCTACAAGACTTTGAGAGGCTATGTGACTTGCATGATTTGGAGCAGGCAGTGTGGGTACCTTTACTGGCAGGCAAACTGTCAGGTCGGGTGACCGAAGCCTATCGGGCTGTACCCAGGGAGGACAGTAAAGATTATGCCCGGGTAAAACAGGCTATACTGGAAAGATACGCCATTACCCCAGAGGCATACTGGCGCAAGTTTCGAGGGTTGCGCAAACCAGAGGAAGATTCCCATGCAGAGTGGGCCCACAAACTGGACCAAGCCTCCCAGGGGTGGATACAAGCCAGTCAAGCAACCACCATGGAGGAGTTACGGCAATTGCTGCTGTTAGAACAGTTTTTCAATGGCCTGTCCCCGGAGGCACAGGAATGGGTGAGAGATAGAAAACCCCTCACCCTAACAGAAGCTGCAAGACTAGCAGACCAGCACTATGACGCCAGGAGGCATCACTGTAACCTCAACCGAGGGTACCCTCGACCCACAGCTCAACCTCATACAGCTACCCCTACTGTACCTACAGCAAACCCATTCCGGCCAACCCCGGGGGGGCACACTCCACCATTTAGGTATAATGGCAGAGTGAATATACAGTGCCATACGTGCAAACAATGGGGCCAGATGGCGAGAGAGTGTACCCAGAACCGGAAACGCCAAGCATGGAGCCAGGTATGGCAGAATCCAGCACCAAGAGCAGCCGCCCACCACTACCAAGCAGAGCCAGCAACCCAGGAGATACTTTTTAATCAGACCGAAGAGCCCCTGGGGATACTACATGATGTGATGTCGGTACAAGCCACAGACAACAGGCAACACCATCGCCAGCAAGTAATCCTGGAAGGGAAAGAGGTCCAAGGGCTCCGGGATTCAGGAGCCACTCTGACTCTGGTAGCCCCTCATTTGGTTCCAGACTCCGCACACACCGGCGGATCTGTAGCAGTGCGAGTAGCAGGGGGAGCGGTATACAGATTACCCTCCGCAAAAGTACATTTGAATTGGGGTGTTGGGGAGGGCATGGTAGAGGTGGGCCTGATGCAGAAACTGCCAGCGGATGTCGTATTGGGAAACAACCTGGGTCGAATGACTTCCGCCTTTATTCCTCAAGCTCCACTCCAAGAGGCTCACCCAGTAACCACCAGGCAACAGGCTCGCACCACGGCTCCAGCAATGCACTCTGAGGCTCAGGTAAAGGACAGGGACCCTCCTACGACCCGTGTTACCTGGATGTAACGGATCACCTGGCACCCCGACTGGGTACCTCCGTTAAAGGATGCTCCTAGCACTTCCTGAGGACTCCAAGCACTGCAGCAGACACCAAAACCACCGAACCATAGGAGCATATGAATACTCTCAAGCATATGAATGCTGTAGACAGTTGAATAGGAACCATACGAATAGGTTTACCCTCCTAGTAGTCAAACTGGAACAGCATACAATAAATCCTTCCCCCAATAATGAGACGACACTTCACTTTGAGGGTTAAAACAGGAACTCCCTGTACTGTCACATTCAGTCTCTTTTATTCCCAATCCACAAACATAGTACAGCCCACAGGGCGTTACAAAACAACCAATCAATCCGTACAATACACCCAGACACTCCCACACAAAATCCTCCCCTCTGCAGGTGATATGATTACTGAACACAATGGGTAATCTCATTATCACCGGCAGAGGAATACAGTTTTTACACAATATTTATAACTTCTAAAATATACATGTCACAAACATAAAACATATATTTTCATAATCAATCCATTCAGGGGAACAACATATTAAAAAATGGCACGAATCAGACCAGGGGTTCAAAAGTTAAGGGAAAGTCCTTTGTGACTAAATGAAGCATGGCTTTCCGGCCCAAACCAGTTTCAGAGTCTTCTATCCTGGAGATAATTGAGAGTAATTCAATTATCTCCCAGGACAGACACAAGACTCCATTAAGCACATGGTTGCAAAAAGACAAAACACTTTAAAATACATAAAGTCACCCTTTACACATAAGACACAGACATTTCACATATCCCCAGATAGCTGGGATCTGAGCGCACAAAACTACCGAATAGCGCTCAGATCCTATTCACACAGTTCAATTGCCATGGAGCCGAAGTCTTTAACTACACGAATGGGCCCCATGGCATAGCTATCTGGGTTAACACATTCACATAAAGTCTGGTCCATAGTCCAAAGGCAAGAGGCGGGCAAGCAGCCCCCTCCAAGGACACGTGGCGAGGCCGGTTTCGCCACAGATACCCTGACTGAATTTCTTAAAGGTTGCCTGAAATAGCTGTGTTAACCTGGTGTAAAAAATGTATTTGTGTATTTTAGAATAGAGAGCATGCATAGGCTAACAGCCATGAAAAAAAAATTGTCAGTTGACTCCTGGAGCCGTGAATAAAATTTGTCAGTTGACTCCTGGAGCCGTGAATAAAATTGTCAGTTGACTCCCTGAACTGTGTTTCGTCCAGTTACTGGGGGATTTGGGATATTGCCTTCTTTTCCAGCGCTTTACTTTTGATTACCTTCTATACCAGCGGAGATCTTGGGATTTAATATTGCAGCTCCGCTACAGTTTGTATTTATCAGATACAAAATTAAATGTTTTATCTGTCCTTACTTTTTTTTTTATATCTTTCAGTGTTTTTATATACATAGAATACTGTATTAGCAAAACCTAAAAATGCTCTTTGAAGCAAGAGATTGTGTTGGATCGTTCCATATCTCACCCTTAGTGGTAGATCTGTCTGTATTCATGTAAAGAGGTTCTAAAGAAATATAACTAGAGAAATTTTACTTAAAAAGTGAGGTGTTTTTTGAAAGAAAAAAAAGAAACAATTTTTAACATGCAAGTTAACAAAGAAAACAGGTTCATTTCAAATTAATTTACATTTGGCTGTTGGTAGCAAAAAGAAAAATATTCCATACTCAAATTTAAGCTGCTTTAATAAATTATTTATACACAGCATCATTTACCACAAAGCATGTATTCATCATACTTTGCATCCTTTGATCCCAGTTTGATATTTTTCTGCATTAAGGAACACTCTAATTAATATAAAAAAACGATTTATTTATTTATAAAGATAGAATCTGGATCTTCCTCTTTCTGTTGTTGTCCTCCACCACTGTTAAGGATAAAAAAACACCTATAAAGGTATCTTTTGTCCAGCACAGTCCTGATCTCAGTGCTGCCCTTAGTCTTCTGAGATCATCTTGATGAATGATCTTGGGCCAATCAATGCGTCTCATGTAGTACACGTGCAAGTGTGCTCAGCCAATCAGATGCTTCTCATTCTTTGTATATAGTGCTTCTCTATGAGAAGCATTCACAGTATTCGGCCAAACATAAAGACTTTCTGTTACTGAAAGTTTTCACTAGTAAGTGTCTTTAGAGGCATTCTGACTGACACATGTAAATATTGCGGCTTCTCACAATTTAGGCATTTGTCAGACTGCAGGGATAGGGTCTATGGACCAAAAGCACTACATTAAATTGTGGTGTTTTTGGTACTTACATTGTCCCTTGAAGCTGACTCTCAAAAGCACCATAACTGCTAAAGCTCCCTGTAGTGGTTAAAGTGCAAATAATTCATGGACAACATCTTCCCAGATGTCATTGTTTCTGAGCAAATTAATAAATATGAGGGCTTTTTGTGCACTGAATCATTATGTAGTTTTATTTCTTTTTCAAGATGTGCAGAATTTAAAACATATTACTGTATATGTAGAAGGTTTGTTTTATAATTATTATTTTTTTATGAGCTAATTTACATTTTGAGTGATCTATTCTGCTTCTTCAGAAAGGACAGTAAGATAAAGGTTCTGATTTACGTTTAAAACACGGCATATTTTGAACAACGTTTTGTTGATAAAGAACATTAATATGTTAAAAACACGCCAGAGCTTGTTTAAGGATTATGTAATGAAGTCATTTTATTTTGCATTTTGAAATACCCAGCAGTCTCTTTGCCAACATGTGTTATATGATCTTTTTCCTTTCATAATGCACGCTTTTCTTCTATGCTTCAAATGAACTTGACAGCTCTTGAGCTGTGTCCAGTATATGTAACTCCACATGGGCATTTCAAGACTTTAATGGCTTTACTGGAATCACAAGTAAAGAAATTGTGTACTAAATGTTAAGTTCCAATTCCAGGGTATATAATGTACTCTCTTTTGATAATCCTAGTTTATTTTGTTGTTTAAAAAATAAAACCTTCCATTTAGCTTCACAAACTATTGGCAGGCTGAAATCCCAAAAACCACTTGTTTCTTGTATCGGTTATGGTACAAGAAGTTTTCTTACTGTTACTTAGAAGTAACATGTGCAAGCTCTCTCATAGCTTTCTAGGGGTAACATGAGTTACAGTTGCAGCCACAAAATGTTTAGTTTGCCAAAACGCAATTCCCTAAAATTAATTTTGTACTTGAAAATTATACTCCTTCCAGTTCCAAACCATCTGCAAAAGCTTTTTCTCTAGACTTCTGTTGCTCTGATTTGGAGTGTAAGAACTAATGCCCTATCATTTTATTAACCTCTTCATTACCACGTAACTTGTTTAAAAAAAAAAAAAACACCACCATAATCTAAGTATTTGGGTGTCTGGAAAGTAGTATTTAAATGTACTTAGATAGCACAATATAGTAGTGATGGAAACAAAAATGAAACATTTTGCTTGTCAGCCACAACATTAAAACCACCAGCCTAATATGGTGGCTTCTGTGGTGGACAGTGCAGGGGCGTACCTAGTGCATTTGAAACCCGGGGTGGATCCTTATTTTGGCACCCCCCTCACCCCCCCTGTAATCCACCCTCCAAAATGCAAAAAATACCCACAATTTTTTTTAAATGTTTTCTTTCTATTTTTATTTATGTATTGCACATATTTGTAAAATTTGTAAACCTGACTACAAAACCCCTGTCGTGCCCCCTTTTACAAAACCTCTGCACCCCCCTTCCCCAAATACCCTGTTCAGCCCCCCTTATAGCTACCCTTGGAGTCTAAGTTGGAGAAGCAGAAATTCCTTCTTTCCCTTTCCCTAGATGAGCAGCAGAGACAGCAGCGGGTGGGTGTCGTGTTAAGCCCCGCCCCCTGTCAAAGTACAAAACCCCTGCCCCGTCTACAAAATCCCTGCACCCCCACACACATATAGTCAAATGCAGACAGTCACAGGCAGTCACACACACAGTCACATTTAAACAGTTATAGACAGTCACACTCAGTTGCAGTCAGACAGTCACACACGCAGTTAGAGGCAGACGGTAACATATACACAGTTACATGCAGGCAGTCACACACACCCAGTTACGGGCAGCATTACACAGTCACAGGCAGACTGTCATAGGCATACAGTTACACACACACACAGTTACTGGCAGACCATCACACACAGTCACAGGCAGACAGTCACACACACAGTCACAGGCAGACAGACACACACGGTCACACACAGTCACACACACACACAGTCATATGCAACCAGTCACATGCAGTCAGTCACACACACACACGTAGTCACATGCAGCCAGTGTCAAGGATAAATCATCCTTTAATTATGTTTTGAATCCAGAAGAATTGCTTCTAGCTTTAATTGGGGTAGATCAGCTTTATACAGTAGAGGATACGTGCTTGCATTCAAGGAAAGGAATGTTAGAAGAGACATATTTCTAAATGTCAAAAGATAAGCAGTTTACAGAAGTACTCCGGTGGGGGCTAGTTGTTGTAAGAAAGAGAACTGAATGTAGGACACAGTTAATTTACACATAAAGCATATCATGATCCAAGTTAGCCAATTTTAATACAGACTGGACCAAATGGCATCTGTAACTTGAGCCTTGGAATCAAGGTGCATTTCTACACACACACACACACACACACACTCACATGCAGCCAGTCACACACACACTCACACACCCACACTCTTTCTCTCACTTACTGAAGTCCCTCCCTGGAGTCTAAGTTAGGAAGCAGGGATTCTTGCTTCCCCTAGATGAGCAGCAGTAACGGCAGCAGGTGGGGGCTGTGTTAGGCTCCGCCCATGCTGTCACTTGGCTCCAACTCTATATTTTAGCCCCTACTCCAATTTCCTACCATGGGGCCAGTGTGGTTTTGAAGTAATTCAGCTGCCTGTCCCTTCGTGTGTGAGCTGTGTCGGCTGCCATGGCGACCTGTGCGGCTGTACAGTTAACACATCCTGAAGCCGGCCCTGGTCATCATGGCACCACCCTAGTGAGTGGCATCCAGGGTGGACCACCCCACCTGCCCCCCTTAGTATGCCATGGGGACACGGGTCATCATGTACATGCTGATCAATCTGTGGCTATGCAGTCCTATAAGCAGCAAACTGCAATGCATTGTGGGTACTGACACGTTTCTATCCTGTCCTATTGGGTTTTATACCCCACCTCTTATAGACTGTAAGCTCGTTTGAGCACGGTCCTCTTCAACCTATCATTCCTATCATTATCATTCCACTTGTGGTAGGTACTAATTGCTGCATAGCACGAACACTCCACAAAACTTGCCATTTTGGAGATGCTCTAGCCATCACAATTTGGCCCTTGTCAAAGTCATTTAGGCTTTTCACTTGCCCATTTTTCCTGCTTCCGAAACATGAAGGCACCCATCTATAAATTACCTTGGTGGTGGCAGCGTTATAAAACAGCAATATTTATATTGTTATAGTTAAGTGTGGGTGGTGATAAGGGGGGATTTTTAAAGATTATTTCTGGTCTAGTGCAGACAAATAGTTAAGTTTAACCCTTTTACCACCAGAACCAAGCTGCGTGCATGCTTGGAGTAGGGTGCATTTGTGACAAATCCCACTACCCCCACCAAGCCGGTGGGTGGGGGCCCTACTTAATTATAAATTGGGGGATGGACATGCAATTGTCTACCCCCTAAATAATAATAAGTCCACCCTGAGTGGTAAGAGGTCCCCAATCCTCTCGCCATCCCCTAAAATAAAGTCCCTACATACCCCATGATCCATCACATTAATAATTGTGAAGAGGGGGCTAAAAAAAATCTAAAACCTGTAAAAAAAAAAAAAAAAATCATCTTTTCTCCAGTCCCCAAAAAAAAGACAAATAAAAGATCCATAATTCCCAAATCCACTAATAAAAATAATAAAAGGCCCAAATGCCAAAATATCAAGAAAATAAATAAATAAATAAAAACCTACCAGAACAAAAAATAATCAATCTTCACCCCTGGTAGGCTCCCAGCAGAATGAGTGCTCCCAGCTGGGAAGACCTTTTATAGGCTACCCATCCCATGCCCAGTATATATGAACCAGAACTCTCTGGTTGGTTGGCTAGTTAATCAGAGCACTCTGACAGCCAAGTCTCACTTCTCTTGAACAAATGTGTCTAACACATTCATACATGCAGTAATTGACATTGATGCATGTTTACAGTATATCTTTGCTTTGGCTTTGGCTACAGAATATGTTTAGAATCTATGTGTGGCTCAGAATATAGCAACACCGCTTCTTTTTTCTCAGGAGACATTCTCCCTCCGTAGTTCATCTTCTTTATCTGTATATTTGTATGCAAGGCTGGATTTCCCATTAGGCAGAGTAGGCACCTGAATACAGGTGCCCTACCACTAGGGGTGCCTGTTTTAAGCATGTATAATATGCCCTTTGGAGCTGAAATAACCTTGTAAGATAGATAAGTACCAGGAGCATTGGTCATACCTTCTGTAGTTCAGTCAGCCTTATAGTGGACCTGGAGGAACAGTTTTAAAGGGTGTAAAACTTAGTGCTGACATTTGCCTATTCTTTTAGGATTGTATTTAGCACTGAGCAGTATTTGTGCGTTTGATACAAAAACTGAGACACATGCAGATATACAGATGCACACACTGACACATGCAGCTACACAGACAAACAGATGCGCATATTGATACACATACAGGTAAACAGACAGACATGCACACACTGACACACATCCATATACAAAGACACACAGATACACACACTGACACACATACACAAACACACACACACACTAACACACATACAGATAAAAAATACACACATTGGCACACATACAGATACAAAGACACACAGATACAAAGACATACAGATGCACACACTGACACACATACAGATCAGATCAATGATGTTTTACAAATGAGTGATATTTAAATGAAGGCAGGCTATAATGTGACAAAGGTAGCAGATTCTAAATTCAGGGTCTATGTAAGAATGACAAGTGACCTAGCACAGAAAAATTTAAAAAAATAAATCCACCACTGAAACACATCCAGGTGCATTAAAACGTGTACCAAGAGTCTTTGGTAATTCCTACAGGCAAATAACATTCTAAAAAAGTCTGTTCTTTTTATATTATGCTATAGTCAACGTTTGTTTGAAAATTTGATGCATGCTAAGACTGATGTATTATGATTTATAAAACAGAACTTATATTTTCAGACCCCGGTGGTAAAACAGCCTCCAACTGTTGTCTGCTACATCTGCGGACGTGAATTTGGCACTAAATCTATCAGTATCCACGAGCCTCAGTGCTTAAAAAAATGGCATCTGGAGAATGAAAAATTACCCAAGAATTTACAACGACCTGAACCTAAAAAGCCAGAGGTTAGACCAATTGGAGGTATGAATAATGGCAACAATTTTCATTTCTTTGTCTGTTTGTCTTTCTGCTCATCGACTATAGGTCATAAGTTAATTTAAGTGCACATGCATGTTGCTCTGACAAAGACTATTAAGTTCTACATGAGAGAAAAAAAATGGATTAAGTGGAATATTTTGTCAATTATAAAAGGAATAGTATATAGTATATAAAGAAAGCTTTAAAATTAAGTTGAAATGAACACTCTCACCCCCACAGAAATTTCAGCTCAATGACATAGTTATGGGGCAGCAGTGCATGGACACTGTTATCTTCAGTAGTTAAACCAATTTTATACCGGTAAACTACAAACAAGCTGATCCCCAGCACCCAACATTGCTGCCACTTTACTTCATTCCTCTAGGCAAGTGAATGGGAACCTATGGCACGCAGGGCCCTCTCTGTGGGCATGCGGTCATAGGTTCGCCATCAATGCAGAGTAGGCACCTGCCTGCCCAAAACGACAGGTGCCTACTCTGCTATCGTGTCCGGAGGACCGGAAGCAGGGGGAGGGATCTTGGAAGCAGCTCTCCTGTCCTCCCGCGAGCAATCTGTGTGGAGCGTTACCATTAAGACAATCGGGTGATTGGATGAATTTGCAAACTGAGCAAAAAAGTACCCGAATCAAACCAGCTGAACTGCACAATAGCTGTTTAATATGTTAATTCTTTGTTGAGCTTCTGAATTCCACCCATGGCGTAAAAAAAAAGATTATTGATGGGTAAAAAAGATTATTGATGGTTAGGAGACTATCACTAAATGCTGATTTTATTCACAGATCAAATAATAAGAAATAAGAATTGATATATCTAATAAATATTTATTATATATAAAATTATATCAATATCGATTTTTTTTTTTTTACATCTCCTCCTGTTTTTCCCTCTATTTGTTACTCTGTCTCACTTGATCTGTAAACAAAAAGTTGTTATTAGATTACTCATATATTTTGCAGTACACTGATGTCTGATTCGGTTCCTGAACGCTGTTTCCAGTGCTGAAATTCTGCCAAGCTGAATCGACATTTGGCAAGAATTCAGGTGTCCCGAAAAATGTTCTGTTTTCAAAATAATCTCTCAATGCGCACATGAAGTCAGCTCTCAGCCTATCACTATCTGCCCATTGAGAGAAATAGTGCCCATACTCTCAATGGTTGGTCCACATAGGTAAAATGGAGCCTTGACAATAATGCCCGGTAACAATTTCACCGAAATGATGCTGTTATGGGGGTGGTCATGTTCCTTTAAATCTATCTCTGTGCTATAGTGTTAGCATTATTCTGGAATAATAATATAGAGTCATAATTATAATAATATAGAGTCAGAAACAAAAATAAGACGCACACACAATGGCACTGATATTTCATTTGTGGTATATTTTGCAGGAGTCACTGTACATAGAATGGACATATGGCTCCATGGGTATGAACTGTATCTGGTTCTGTATCATATTGTGGTGTAGTAAGACATATGACTAAGTCCTTATCAGCCTATTCAGGAGAAGAGTTAAGGCAAATCCTTTGATACCATGACTGTTCAGATATATTATCTGACATGAAGTGATTAAAATAAGATACAATCAGTGGCGTACATAAAAAAAAAACTAGTGTTAGTGTTTGTGTGTGTGTGAGTGTTAGAGTGAGTGTTAGTGTGTGTGTCTGCTAGTGAGTGTTAGTGTGAGTGTTAGTGTGTGTGAGTGTGTGTGTGTGAGTGTTAGTGTGTGTGAGTGTTAGAGTGAGTGTTAGTGTGTGTGTCTGCTAGTGAGTGTTAGTGTGAGTGTCAGTGTGTGTGAGTGTCAGTGTGTGTGAGTGTTAGTGTGTGTGAGTGTTAGAGTGAGTGTTGGTGTGTGTCTGCTAGTGAGTGTTAGTGTGAGTGTCAGTGTGTGTTAGTGTGTGAGTGTTAGAGTGAGTGTTAGTGTGTGTGTCTGCTAATGAGTGTTAGTGTGAGTGTTAGAGTGAGTGTTAGTGTGAGTGTTACTGAGTGTGTTACTGTGTGTGTCTTACTGAATGTGTGTGTTAGTGAGTCTGTTTGATGTCTGTTAGTGAGTGTGTGTTTGTCAATGAGAGTGTATGTTTTGTAAGTGAGTGTGTATGTATGTCTGTCGCTGACTGTGTCTCTGTCAGTAAATGTGTGTGTCTGTTAGCTAGTGTGTATGCGTCTGTAAGTGTGTGTGTGTGTGTGTGTGTCTTCAGCACTTACCTTTCTCTAAAACTGCTATGTTTTCAGCTGCAAGGTTAAAACTAGAGGGACCTGACACCCAGACAACTTCATTGAGCTGATGTGATCTGGGTGTCTGTAGTGGACCTTTAAAGGACCACTATAGTGCCAGGAAAACATATTCCCTCAGGGACCCCCTCCCGCCCAGCTCTGGAAAGGGGAAAAGGGGTAAAACTTACCTTTTTCCAGAGCTGGGCGGAGAGCTCTCCTCCTCCGATCCTTCTCTTCTCCTCCCCGTCGGCTGTATGCGCACGCGCGGCAAGAGCTGCGCGCGCATTCAGCCGGTCACATAGGAAAGCATTCATAATGCTTTCCTATGGACGCTGGCGTGCTCTCACTGTGAAAATCACAGTGAGAAGCACGCAAGCGCCTCTAGCGACTGTCAATGAGACAGCCACTAGAGGAAATAGGGGAAGGCTTAACCCATTCATAAACATAGCAGTTTCTCTGAAACTGCTATGTTTATGAAAAAATAGGTTAACCCTAGAAGGACCTGGCACCCAGACCACTTCATTAAGCTGAAGTGGTCTGGGTGCCTAGAGTGGTCCTTTAAGTGTGTGTGCATCTGCATGCACTGGCGTACATACCGTGGTCGCAGGGGTCGCAGCCCTGTAACCCCTGCGACCAGGTGCCCACCGCCATGTGTTGTGGCCCGGCCCATGCGCGGGGGGAGAGTGGGGGGGTCCACGGATCAATTTTCGCACCGGGGCCCCATGGGTCATGTGTACGCCACTGGATACAATAGTTTTTGACCTAGGTTTGGGGACCCCTGTCACATCACACCATTACAAATGACCCTATTCCCCTTTTTATTGTGTCAGGAAAGGAAAGTAGATTGAGATACTCCGCCTGCTTTAGTTCTGTACCGGGTGAGGAGTATTCACTGGTTCTCTGTGGTTATTAGGATGCATTTAGTTCATATTTAGACATACATGCCAATTAACAAATAACAATTTAAATGGGCAATGCTGTAGAGGGCAATATGGTAGAAAGAGCAACAGTTCAACATCATGCTTTATAAAAAAATATATATTTTTTAAATGAAAAATCAAGAAAACCAGCAAAATATTGATATAAATGTTGAAATACACATCCAGGGAAAGGATACACTGTAGAGGACATGTAAATAAAAAAGGTGAAAAAGAGAGAGAAAATAAACTAAATATAAACAATTAGAAACAGATGCCAAGCTGCCTATAGGGTTCTATAATGAACAAAGCAGGGTTAAGCACTTCCTGGGGGCATCTAACTACAACTGCTGGAAAATGAGACATCCCAATTAGAAAGATACATCATTGGCTCTGTTAGTTCACAATAGGCCAAGGCTGGAGGGCAGTCACGTTCATATATATATTGCAAACACTACAATTACACATACATGGCGCATTATTAATACAGCTCTGTAAAAACACATTATTTTCATTTTATAGGCACTCTTTCAGTTAACATTACTATCTGTTATGACCAGGATTTTGAATTATACAATCAGGAGGAATATTAATACATGTATTTACAGCCATGCTATTGTAGCCAAGAAATAAGTGTTTATATTATAGCTATCATTATTCAATTTGTGATGACACTAAACATACGAATTTACAGAAAGTGATTAGTCTTCATGATGAATAGAAGTTTAAAGGATGGTAGAATTAACTATATACAAAATAAATCTTGGAGAACAAAAAAAAAAAAACAGACATTGGATTCTAATGGTTTTTAAATGTGTTCGGTCTTCAAAGAAGAGAAAACTTATTTTGTAAAAAAAAATATTACATTAAGAATATGTAAATCTGGCACAGAAGGAATACTCCAAGCAGCTACTGTAAAAACTGCAACAGTTGTTTAGACAGCACTTTCTACAGTAGGGGTTGGCAACCTTTGGCACTCCAAATATTGTTTACTACATTTCCCCTGATGCTTTGCCATGATGCATAATGGGGTATGCAACCTTCAACATTCCACAACAGCTGAAATGCCGAAGCTTGCCTACCCCTGCTCTATAGAGTGAGAAGCAATTAAAACAGGGCATATGGCACATTTTTATTTGACCATACACAAAAAAATAAAATGATCTCATTGTCTGTAAGTAAAATGCAAATATATATTCTGCCTTGTAAGCAGAGAATAGTTGTATCAGATGCCTGAATATTCACTGGTTGTTATTTACATACATGTCACGCATGTCACATAATCGTGTTCATTGTATCTCTAAATTTTTGTCTTAACTTACAACATAATCTTCACAAAGATCTTATTTAGTTGGAAAGTTGTTGGGTCTTCTTTGGATTTTGGTGTACATATATGGGACAGGTGTTGGGATTTCATACTGTTGTTGATCTTATGAGTCCAGCTTGGTTCCTAATAGAGTAATGTAACAATCATCTTGATTCCAGCAAGTATTTTATGGGAAATCTCATTGATCAACATTCAACATAGACTTTCTGGAAACACCTTTGTCAGCATGCAATTTAAAAAAAGGAGTATTAAAATAGTTATCTTTATTGAAGTTCTTTATCAATATTACTACATTTAGAAAAAAATTAAATGCACTATACGAAATATAAATTAGGATTTTATTATTTATTAAATGCTGACTGAGCGGCTTCCAGAGAATTGTGGATATACTATAACAGCATAGTTGAATAGTTAAAGAAGTTTCACAGTGGGGCCAGCTAGTATCAATTCTGTTATTATAATAGCAGAGACTTGAGTTCTGGTGGACATACTGGTGGCTTGTACTGTAAGTACCACTTCTAAATAAGAGTTAATTCATTTGGATTCCAGTTATTCTGTTCATACTGGTTGAGGCCAGTGCACCTATTCATCATGAATTCACTCTGTTGGAATATTATAAAACCAGAAAGGAACACAACTGATTCTCTAGGTAAATCTCCTGAAAAAAAAAAAAAACACACTTTCCATATTGTGACTGGTTACATTAAGTTACTATATAAAAACAAAACAAAACAAAACAATGATTAAAAAGTCAGCAACCAAAAATATTTGAAATGTTAAGACTTCCCTGTTGGTGAATTCACATTTTTGGAATATTATAAAATAAGAAACAGATTCAAGTAATTCCCCAAGTATAAGGTTTTTGTAAATCTCCTGCAAATATAGATAAAATATACACTTTTACATAGTGTGACTCGATGCATGAAGATGAACTATAAAGTCAAAAAGGTCAACCCTACCCCTAACCTTCTTCGAGACTTCGGCAATTCGGTTCCGCACTTCGGAAATTTGGCAATTCGAACTTCGGACATTCGTAAGCATCTGAATTGCATGAAATTTGTCCGAATGTACATTCGGAACGAAATGAGTTGCACATATCTATTCATGAATTCACTCTGTTGGAATATTATAAAACCAGAAAGGAACACAACTGATTCTCGAGGTAAATCTCCTGAAAGTTGGAAAAAAAAGCACTTTCCATAATGTGACTGGTTACATTAAGTTAATATATAAAAACAAAAAAGAAAACAAAGATTAAAAAGTCAGCAACCAAGAATATTTGAAATGTTAAGACTTTCCTGTTGGTGAATTCACATTTTTGGAATATTATAAAATAAGAAACAGAGAAACAGATTCAGTATTTCCCCAGGTATAAGTTTTTTTGTAAATCTCCTGCAAATATAGATAAAATATACACTTTTCCATAGTGTGACTGGATGCATGAAGTTAAAATATAAAAGTAAAAAAGATTAAGATTAAAAAGACAGTAATCAAGACTTTTTGGAAAGTTAAGACTTTCCATTTGAATTTAGTAAAGGTTGGAATGGTTTCACAACACAAATACGGAATATTAGTAATACAATATATACAGTAATAAATTAACCTAGTGCTAGTTTTTTTTAATGTCCTATAATAGTACTAATAATATATATATATTTAGATGAAATAGCTTTGCTTGTTTTTCTTGTGTAAATAATGTGAACAAGACATAGCTGATTCTAGAACATTCCTCTCTGAACAATGCAGAATAAACTAAATTCATTTTTATTTTCAATTAATTCTCAGGAGAAAAAAAAAACAGAACATCTTGTTCAAGCACAGGGTCTTGTTATGCTAGTGTTTGGTCAGCAGGTATTTCCTGAAAATATTTTCCTACATTATTTTTCTAAAATGAAAAACGACCACCTTTCTTTTTGTTCCCCTCAGCTAAAGGTTCGTATGATGTTGGTGCTTTAAATGAGGCTGCTTGGCAGAGTGCCCAGAGCCAGTTGCTTCAATGTGGAATTTGTGGACGTACATTCCTGCCAGACAGACTCCTCGTTCACCAGCGGTCCTGTAAACCGAAAAAGCCAAAGTAGCCAGAGTCACAGCCCTGCATGATAATGTCATAAAGTCACCAAGGGAACAATAAAGTCTCTGCTTTGTAAGCATGGCTTAAGGATAACACGTTATATGTTGAGATTACATATGCAGACATTTGGTCACCATTTAACTGGTGCAAAGAATTTACATTGTGTTGTGATGTTTGCGTAAGTGTTAAAATCACTATTACTTTAATAAAGATGTTAATTTTCACACCTGCAGTTTGTCATGCCCATATGTACAGTATAGAACAATATGTATAATGGATATTTAAGCATCGGGTCCAAAGTATATTGAATTAACCCCTTAAGGACACAACTTCTGAAATAAAAGGGAATTGTGACGGAATATTTCCGTCATTTGTCCTTAAGGGGTTAAATGTTTACTGAATTGTGTACATTTAGACTATAGGTTTAAAGACAGTACTCTAATAATCTATTGTATTATTTTATTTTTCCTAGGACCACTCCAAGTCAAGGCTGAATTTTCCATTAGGCAGAGTTAGCACTTGCTACAGGCACTGTTTTTCAGTAATGTGCTTTTTTGCAGTTTAAGTGGGTGGTGGTGAGACATAATCACAGCAAGCATTGACATGTGTTCTCTGTAGTCCACTCAGCCTCCTTTGTTTGATAGCGGAGCTGTTGGAACAGTTGAAGAAGGTGTAAACATCAGTGCTGTACCAGTTCCTCCAGTGTCTGTGTATGAGACTGGACAGGAAGTGGAAGGGATCACTTCCTATCTGTCCACTAACAACCTCAGGAAATAAACGGCTGGAGGAGCATGGACAGCATTAAGGGATGCAGACTGTTTGACAGTTCCTGTAGCTCAACAAGCACTGATAGGTCCATTCAAACTCAAGTCTATATTCCATTCTATAGTTCTTATACTCTAAACACCCCTTTTTCAACCCCCAAATTTAACACCCCCCCAAAAACCATAAATATATTCTTTTAGTCTAAACATTAACCACTCAAACCCCAAAAATACCATAATTCTAGGTTTAACACATCTAAACACCCTATGTGCCACATTACTACATGTAAACCAACTGTAAACCTGTAAACCTAAACTCAATAATCCTAAGTATCTCTGTATATAAATATTTAACCTAAAACCACTCAAACCCTAATCCTAAACTCCCTTTATACCTCAAAGAGCCTTATGCAAATTAACTACACTCCAACCTTTTACCTCTTTTTACTATAAGCACTGCTTACAATATATTTAACCCTGCTCATGGCTACATACACTCACCATATACACAGATTCAAAGACAAAGCAAAAATGTGCATATACATACACTGATCAGTCACAACATTAAAGCACCTGCCTAATATCGTCTAGAACCCCCCTGTGCTGCCAAAACAGCTCTGATGCATCAAAGATGGACTACACTAGACCTCTGAACATGTCATGTGGGATCTGGCACCAAGACATTAGCAGAAGATCCTTTTAAGTCCATGGATCAAATTTCTGGTTCCAGCACATCCCACAGATGTTCAATCAGATTGACAGCTAGGGAATTTGGAAGCCAACGCAACACTTTGAATTCTTTTTCATGTTCTTCAAATCATTTCTGAACAATTTTTTCCAGTGTGGCAAGGGACATTATCCTGCTGAAATAGGCCACTGCCATCAGCAAACCCCAAGTTCCAAATGGCATAGTTACAACTCTGAATCTAGCCATTCATTATGTGCCCCAGGCATGAACACAGGAAGTTCATCATCTGAAATACAACTGCAGGAGTCACGTCTAACACAGAAAGGCTACTTCTATTGTCAACGATACCAAGCTTAAAGAAAATAGGAGTTAAGGAGTACAATGTGAGAGAGTCATTATAAGTGGGAAAGTTTTTTTTTTTTAAAGTGACAATGAACACAGAAATATAGTTCAATAGCTTTGTTGAAATGATAAAATGGATAACAGTCAGGCCTCTTCTTTTTTTTTGTATGCCTCTAGTTGTTGGCCTTATATTTAATAGATTGTTTGGCTTTACTTCATCTGCTCCTGTACTATTTGCATATGTGTACTGTTATTGTGGTGCACCTCTCTAAATAGCAATTGTAAACATTCTCTTGAATGGAGACAATATTGCTCTGCCACTTAACTGTAATCTAAAGGTCATTTTTTACATTGTGGTGCTCTCTTCTGTGCTGCTGAAAGGGAAATAAAGCATGTTAAAATAAATAACCACAGATGCAGTTTAGATGCAGAGCAGGATAGTAGCCTATTCCACTTGCTCCATCTAATACCATCAGCATTCCTGAAAGAATGTTTTGCATAGCCTTTACACACCAAATTGGACAGCATATTCTTGCTAAACTGCCGTAATGATGGTTACTGATGACATTCTCCAAAAAATATACAAATATACAGACAAGAATGATGTGACTTTAATCTCCAACGTGCCAGGAAAGAATGGGATTAACATGGCAAGATTAACATGGCAAGTAATCAGAGTCTTCCTAACCCAATGTTTGCCTTATCTATTTTCTGATAGGGTCTTGGTATCTTATTTATTATGAACAAGATTAGTGACCTACAAAACGTTTTAGCCCCAGAACATTATGAACTGACCGACATTGATGTTTTATGCAATTATACCTGTTGGTTTGAACAATGCTCACCTGAGCTGTGCTGGTGGCCATACAAATGTTATGGCTGATATCCCTGATTTACTGCTTCAATGTAGAATGGCTCTAGAATTGATGGTGGCTCTAGAGAGCATGCTGCATTAGCATAATGATTAAGAAGCTCCTTGAATGGGTGCATCCAGGGGGACTATGCTCTATCCTCATTTGAGAATAAGCATTCTAGCATGCTCATCTTGGATTTCATTTTTTTTTTTTTTTGTATACAAGTATGTGTTATTATGTAAGCCTAAAGTTTAATCAATGATCCCTGCACTAAAGTATCAGGCATACATGTTTGGATTCCTGATAGTATAGTGTCCCTTTAATTAATAAATCATGTTCTTTACAAATCCAGAATACTGTTACAGATGGTTGTGACATTTTATTATTTTTATCTGTAATGCTATTATTGTATATTATTATTTATACATTATTAGTATATTTTACTAATGCACCCGATCTATAATTTTGATAGGACATTGATACGCATGGAGAGACTTTAATGATTCTCATAAATCTTCAGCGGATTGAAGTGTGAAACTGGGAGGACAGGATAAGTTATTGTGCAATTTAATTAAGCATTTCAACTTTTTGGATGCTTGAAGGGTTTCCACATCTTTACTCTAGTGATTACACATTTTGCTCTATAGCACATGAAAACAGGAGGGTCTGACAAGAGAGTGGATGGGACACACAACTCACAGCTTCAGCAAACATTTTGTAAGTGACTTTTGCAAAAAAAAATAAAAAATTATAATAGTAATAATGGTATTTACATCCTGTAGGCAATTCAATGCTGTGCTTTTTACTAGAACAATGTCACCTTGATTACTTGCTCACATTTTAAGAGTTCATATGAGAAAAGGCTGGGTGTAACTTCCAATAGTCAAGTACCCCACCATGGACTTTTTCCCCCAAACTTTTATTATTCTAAAATGTTGAGCAAAAGTTGAGTAATTCCTTACAGCAGGGTTGCCCAAAAGGTAGATCCCCAGATGTTGCAGAACTACAACTCCCATGATGCTTTTGGTGTCTTTGCATTACTTTGGAATGACAAGGCTTCATGGAAGTTCTAGTTTTAAAGCATCCCGGGATCTACCTTTTGGGCACCCCTGCCTTACAGTTTAGAGCTGTAGGAGAAAGTGAGGATGAGTCCTAAAAAGTGAAATATATTAGCACCAGCTCACATTTTGGACATTGATGTTGTCCTTGGTGCTATTATTCTTTATTCAGCAACATATTTTACAAAGTAGGAGGAGAGAGCAAATATACATGAACAGGGTGCAATTCATTAACATTACACCTCCCATCTATCCACACCCATAATGCCAGTCATTCATCCATGTTTATTACCCCCTCCCATCTATCCACACCTATAATGCCAGTCATTCATCCATGTTTATTACCCCCTCCCATCTATCCACACCTATAATGCCAGTCATTCATTCATGTTTATTACACCTGCCATCTATCTACACCCATAATGCCAGTCATTCATTCATGTTTATTACACCTGCCATCTATCTACACCCATAATGCCAGTCATTCATCCATGTTTATTACATCTGCCATCTATCCACACCTATAATGCCAGTCATTCATCCATGTTTATTACCCCCTCCCATCTATCCACACCCATAATGCCAGTCATTCGTCCATGTTTATTACCCCTGCCATCTATCCACACCCATAATGCCAGTCATTCGTCCATGTTTATTACACCTGCCATCTATCTACACCCATAATGCCAGTCATTCATTCATGTTTATTACCCCCTCCCATCTATCCACACCCATAATGCCAGTCATTCGTCCATGTTTATTACCCCTGCCATCTATCCACACCCATAATGCCATCCATTTGCCTTAGCCATTCATTAACAGCCATTAGCACTAGACATCCATAAAAACCTATTAATCCCAGGAAGCCATTAAAATACAACAGCCCCAGCTATCCAATGTACCATCCAACAAGTCTGTCATAATGCCGACAGACTATCTACCAGCATCTCCAGCTGGGCTTTTTTTGAATGTTTTCCTTTCTTTTACTGCTGCACCCACTATTTCAACTCGAGGCCTTCATTTCATGCAGGAATGAATCTCCTACAGACACTTATTAGCATGGCTGCTGATACGCACACTAAGTGTGAGCAGTAATCAAGATGGTTACATTACGCAAATAACTCATGGACAGTGTAAGTAAAAATGGGCTCAAAAGTTATATTATTTTTCACGGTCATTGCTATTGGACGTAAATTGTGAATTTGCTACTTGAGGTGTTTCCTACATGATAGTAATCGCAGGCAGTGTATGTGAAATAACCTCACGCAATTCAAAAAGCATAGAAAACAGAAAATATGGTAAATAAGGCTGGTAACAGGGTAACATGCAGAAAATTGGCGCCAGCTCTCTCTGGATATATTACATGTAGATATGGGATATGTCATATATGTTCCACAGCGTGAGCCACAAGTAGCCTGTCTTTGGCCAGCAAGGGACCCAATAGCATAACATTTTCATCTGTCACTTTTATTTATCACATTTATAAAATGCCAACATATTCCACAGCGCTGTACAATTGGAAGAAAGACAGTACAATAACAGACCAATACACAAGGCAGCGTGCCCTGCCCGTAACCTTGCAATCTAAAGATTTATTAAACTCTTCCTTAATTCACCTTAAGCCTGTGACCTCAATTTGACCAGTACCCGTCCTGCACTATGCTTGGAAAGTTACCTCATTATTTCCCTGATCTGTCAGCCAAGATTACACATTGTCTTCTGATATTCTATATGCTGTTATGATCCATATTCCCTTATTGCGGTTATTTAGAAAAAAAAATTAAACCACATTTCTTGAGTTCTAACTCTGCTTACTACTAGAATGATACAAACAAAGATGTTCTTATTTTTAACTGTTTAACCACTAACCGTTCCACCACTCCATTTACTTGTGTATTCCCAGTTAACTTTTCTATTGCAGGACTACATTTAAATCATATCAATAGTGCTTTGTTAATTAAATCCTACATGTATGCTTAACTCCTTATATGCCAGTATTTCCAATTATATATGCCTCTATTGCCTTAGCTATGATTATTTGAATAAATAATGTAACGAGTTTCCAAAAAGAACACTATATAAGATCTGTTAAAATAAATATCCTGTAATGAGTATGTACAGAAACTCTGTAACAACCACTAGGTGGCAGCAAACTATACAAATTGTGTAGTTTCTCAGAACTCTTATTTCTTTCACTGCCCATTATGCTCATTTTCCTGCCCTACTGCTTTCCAGATATTTTTCAAACTTCATTTTTCATCTCCTCACTCAATTTTTCCAATAGCATTTATCTACTCTGTTTCTCAAATTCCACCCTCATCACCACCCAAAAAGACACCTTTCACTGTCAAATTCTCTTGCTTCTTCTGGCTGTTAGAAGTTCCCATAATGATTCTCTCATGGCATATCAATCTTCTGTTCTGTTCTTCTGTTCTGATCTCCATACTACTCTTTACTCACTTGTTGGCCCCTAGACCAGAGATTGGCAACCTATGGGATGCACAGTGACTTTGCATGGCACTGAGGCTGCCAGACCCAAATGGGGATATCAGAGGATCCCCCCAACCAGCCTACAGTTACCATAGCACTCTCTGTCTCACCAAAAATAGGCCTGAATGGAAACAGATACAAATGTGGCAAAACCACACGCTGGTCCACCAGGGATCAATGAAGATTCATACCACGCTCCTTTGTCAAAAGGTAGGCAAGAGGGAGGGAGCATAAAAACACACACACACACACACACATATATATATATATATATACACACACACACACACACACACACACAGTATCTCTCAAAAGTGAGTACACCCCTTACATTTTTGTAAATATGTTATTATATATTTTCATGTGACAACACTGAAGAAATGACACTCTGCTACAATGTAAAGTAGTAAGTGTACAGCCTGTATAACTGTACAGGCTGTACCCTCAAAATAACGCAACACACAGCCATTAATGCCTAAACCGTTGGACTACACTGTTATACAGGCTGTGCACTTACTACTTTACATTGTAGCAGAGTGTCATTTCTTTAGTGTTGTCACATGAAGAGATATAATAAAATATTTACAAAAATGTGAGGGTGTACTCACAAGGGAACAACATATAATATATATATAATATGGTTAATTTCTGTTGAGCTGAAATCATAACACTAACAACCCTGTACACTGCAAGGACGTTTTACATCTGACCATGCCAAAACATCACATACGTAGTCTTGTAATATGACCATCTTTGTACACCCACCTAGAAATGCCCCCTAGATAAGTTGTATAGCAATGATATCACATAAGCACTTTCCATTGGTTCAGGCAACAAGACAGCTCTGTTTCATGAGGCATAATTATTGTATTAATTTATTGATAAGTATTATTGATTTTATTGGTGTGGCTGGGATCCACCTAGACACATCTTCTCTGTATAAAACCTTTGTTCTACCATTAAACAGACGAGTAAGCCCTGAACTACATGTTGTCTCAATGATTTTGTTCCCCAAGCATGCTTAAGTTGGTGATTTTATATATATATATATATATATATATATATATATATATATACACACACACACACACACACATATACACACACATTCTTGTATAGTCCATCTCATTCCAGTTCTGAAAATAGTTTCCACTTGATGATGTTCACACGTTGTGTTAGATAAGGGTCTCTTATTCATCTATAGTTGCCACATATGTATTATGTAGAGTATGCTCTTGTAAAAACATTGAAGCAGATCCAGGTTTTAAATTGGCTACTAAGGAAATGCAAGGATGTGTCCATACCAGAGCCACTGGAAACAGTTAAGCAAAGTCTGACTGCACTGGCAACCAAACTGAGCAGAAACACCAGAGAATCAGAGGCTAAGATAATAAATGCCCTGTTTGTAAAGAACCATCCAAGATGTATTAACAGCTACAGGGTAACCACATGTCCACCCAAGACCCACCGAGAGCAGAGACTGAACAGTACTGGAAGAACATCTGAGAGAAAGAAGCAGCACATAACAACAAGGCCCAGTGGCTACTAGACCTGGAAGCAGAACACTGCATTCTCCCAGAATAGAAACCAGTCACCATCACAGTGGAGATATCCAGCAAATAATAAACCCACATGAAGAGTTGGTCAGCCATAGGACCTGACATGATCCACACCTACTGGATAAAGAAACTAACAACGTTGCATGACTGCCCAGCAGTACAAATGAACCAGCTTCTAGCAACTGGCTCCAGCCCTGACTTACCAACACAAGGCAGGACCCTCACAAGGGAACAACACCTGCCTCCCCATGGAATGTCCTGTCAGGAACCATAGCCTCCAAGATCAATAGGCATGTGAGTCAGTACACGAACAATACTCAGAAAGGGATTGGAAACACCAGAGAATCAAAACACCAACTACTGGTAGACCAAGCAGTCAGGCAAGCTTCTAAAACTACACAGATCAATTTGTGCACAGCATGGATTGACTTCAAGAAAGTCATGTACACACATGAATACTGGAATGATTGCTCTATGCAAGATAAACAAGTCAATAATAACTGTGGCAAGTATAAATAAAGTAACCTCGCCACTGGTTTTTGGAGGGGCCTGTTTGCCAGCCTCCTACCCTGTGACTATGGCCCCTGTGATAAAACTTGGTTTAAATCACTGTTCATGCCTTTTTGGATTTTTATGGCCACAGTTCGAACTTTCGAAGTGTCACTTCAAACTCCCGAACAGTCGAAGTCGACATTCAAACACGTGGTGGTGGTGGCCATCTTGTTCGCATGGACCAAAAACGCGAATAGACTTCAGGAGGATTTAGCCCTGGAACTATTTTCAGCCTGAAAACCTTGTGGTTCCCGGTCGGTCCTCCAGAGGCACTTAGTCGCGATTCTATGGAAGTGTTCTGGGCATGGGACCATGCCTGCGCCTGGGCAAAACTATGACTTCCATAACATTTCTGAACCCCTAATGTGATCTGGGTGAATTTTGGATATGTTGTTCACCCAGATCAGGGGGTTCAGGGGATGTAACTATTATGGGGATATGTTGTGTTTTGGGGTACTATGGTTTATGGGACTTTATAAAAAAAATTGTTTTTTCTGCCTGGAGATAATTAAGTTAATGTGTTATCTTCCTTAATTATCTCCCAGGCAGAGGGGAGAGATTGTGTGTATTGTATGGGAGTGTCTCACTGTACAACTCTGTTATTATTGGTTTGTTAACTTTGTGTCCCTGTGCCCAACAAGGTCCACGAGGGTGTCACCCTTGTTGGGAAACTTGCATAGACAGCCAGTGTGCCTCCATTAAAATTGAATTCCTGCTTACCCTCAACATAGAGTCTCATCTCATGTGTGGGGGAAACGGCTGCATCTACCTTAGGGATTGCTATATCACAATACTCCCCTGAGTATAATCACTAGCTCTTCTTAGAGCTGTTCCTGCTACGCTCTCTGGAAAAGGAGAGGCCTACCCACTGGAAGATGGATCCTGGTCTTGGGTACAGGGTGGGTGGAGGACGGCAAGACCCCAACCAAGCTGTGGTGGTTCGTGGGGTTTATGGTGGTTATGGTGTTCCAGTGCAGTGCTGATGGTGCTCGCAAGTACTAGGAAGCAGCGATTGACGGAGATACCCGGTTGGGGTGCAAGGCGGTCCGTAACAACAGTCAACATACACACAGGGTGCCAAAACACAAGAGGAATCTGGGGACCCACACGTAGTGTCTGTCTTCCATCCCAAGAGATGGTGACTCCCATCACAAGTGGGACATTAACTAACTGATCCACCTAATAGGATATACAGCAAGGACATTGGAATGTCGTTTGGACTGGATAAGTGTGGGGGAATGATAGCAAGAGGAAAGATGATCAGGACAGAAGGAGTTCAAGTACAAGATAGAACTTGAACTCCTGTAGAGATGTAGAGAACAGTTACAAGTATCTTTTTTTACTACAAACACATGGCTACCATGAGGAAGTAGCAAGGAGGATAGCAACTTTTGGTCATCACGGATGTCAAGACCAGGAAACTACTCAATATGAATGGAGGATTCCACACAAAATCCAGCACCCAGAGACTGCACACTGGTCGGAAAGAAGGGGTTTGAGCTTGATGAGCGTCAAGGCCACAGTCTCAAATGTATTACAGTTATATTGGTGCCTGGAGTGTCAATTTAAATTGGCTCAAATAATTATTTTTATTACTGTTGTTTTAGTTCTGT